ATTTTAGCAAATGGCTGCAATATAACAAAGAGTGAAAAATTTAAGGGGGTCTGAATACTCTCCGTACCCACTGTATATATATATATATATATACACACACACACAATACAAGCTACAGAATTTTTTAAAGTAAATTGACCACCACAATGAGGAAAGGAAAGTAGGGGGAAATGTGCTTAATTGTCATTAAAATGATGTCCAGTGCCAAAAATATTAACTGTTCTACAAATCCTAAATATTTTATGCAACTCTCATTACATATATGCAAAACGATGTTTTATTCCCTTTCATTTATGATGATTAAATGATTCTAAAGAAGTCTTTTCACAACTTTTAAAACTGTTTTATGGAGGTTTTGAATTTTGTTTAAAAAAAAAAACAATTTCAGAAAGACGTTTCATCAGCTGAACAATTGGTATGATGTTAAACAATCCATTGAACACTAGACTTAGGGTACTTTGACTCGGACTCGGACATTTTGGACACAGACATTTTTAAAATACAGACGAATGTCACAATGGGGTAAAAAGTGACATTGATACATATTGCACACCCCTCTCTTTTAACTGGTGATTCTTTTGTTTTTCCACCTTTCTGAGCACTATGTTCTAATTCTATCCTTTTAGTACATAACACATCTTTCATTGAGCTGCAGCAGAGCTTGGAATGCTTGATTCTGTGACCGGGCCAGAGCCTGAGCCCATTTACCTTCAGCTGAGGGGACATTTCGTGTAGATTTTGCAGTGCATTGACACTAGCATGCAGTACCTGAGGGGTGGCCTGCTTCTGAGGCCCAGCTTATGAATGTTTCACTGCAAGACAATCAAGTCTGTGTGTTTGGTCATGCCATTAAAAAAACTTAAGTGTTTGTGATCAATTATTCATGTCACATCATGCATGCAAGAGTGGGGCCTTAGCCCGGATAGGACTTTGCGCTGATGTCTGCAATGACCTGGCTGCTCTGATCTAATGAAATGTGAGGAACAGAGCAGCCAGACTTAAGAGAGTCAAAGGGAGAGGTAAGATATGAGCCAAAGCACTGCAGTGTAAGCATGATTCTGATTGGCTGATAAACCTGTCAATCATGTAATAAGTCGGGTAATGGGCTGAAAGTGACCAGAGGGACAGGACTGACCTGACAGCGGCTGTCCTGCTGACAATGGGGTTGATGGGAAGGGGTCGGATTCCTGGGAAGAGGCCCTGGCTCATCATTCGAGCTCCGTTCTGAATCACTCCCTGAGGGACTGAGGAGAGAACACAGATAATGTGCATTAATGCAAACGCTACCTGAAAGCATATGGGAGCAAAAATACACAATGTAAACAATGACATACAAAATCCATTCAAAAGCACCACACCATGTTTAAGCATTTAGAAATCTGCTTAAAATGTTTAAATTCCAGTTGTTGATGCTGCAAAGATGAAATGTCCCTATAGTTTCAAATAGTCTCAAACAGACAAGAGCTGTCTGAAATAATCGGTTTAAATCTGTTAGGCTGGCTTTTAGAAAATCTTTTTTCTAAAAATTTTCTAAGAGTGAAAATATTGTCAAGTTTTCCATATTCAATCATGAAGCATAACCACAAACCCAATGGATGATTATGGCTTTTCTGGTTTACTCATAATGAGAGATGAAAGTAACCCAGACAAAAAACAGAAAACAAGAATTGTGCTGCATCTGAATTAAAGGGTTAGTTCTACCAAAAATGAAAATTATGTCATAAATTCGCACCCTCATGTCGGTTGAAATCCGTAAGACCTTCGTTCATCTTCAGAACACAAATTAAAATATTTTTGATGAAATCTGAGAGCTTTCATAAGTCATGGTGAACGCGCATCGAAGACTGACAGTTCTGAATCACTCCCTGAGGGACTGAGGAGAGAACACAGATAATGTGCATTAATGCAAACGCTACCTGAAAGCATATGGGAGCAAAAATACACAATGTAAACAATCCTCCATTCATCATGTACAGTGGGTACGGAAAGTATTCAGACCCCCTTAAATTTTTCACTCTTTGTTATATTGCAGCCATTTGCTAAAATCATTTAAGTTAATTTTTTTTCCTCATTAATGTACACACAGCACCCCATATTGACAGAAAAACACAGAATTGTTGACATTTTTGCAAATTTATTAAAAAAGAAAAACTGAAAAATGCTCAGTATTTAGTAGAAGCACCCTTTTGATCTAATACAGCCATGAGGCTTTTTGGGAAAGATGCAACAAGTTTTTCACACATGGATTTGGGGATCCTCTGCCATTCCCTCTTGCAGATCCACTCCAGTTCTGTCAGGTTGGATGGTAAACGTTGGTGGACAGCCATTTTTAGGTCTCTCCAGAGATGCTCAATTGAGTTTAAGTCAGGGCTCTGGCTGGGCCATTCAAGAACAGTCACAGAGTTGTTGTGAAGCCACTCCTTCGTTATTTTAGCTGTGTGCTTAGGGTCATTGTCTTGTTGGAAGGTAAACCTTAGTTCCAGTCTGAGGTCCTGAGCACTCTGGAGAAGGTTTTCGTCCAGGATATCCCTGTACTTGGCCGCATTCATCTTTCCCTCGATTGCAACCAGTCGTCCTGTCCCTGCAGCTGAAAAACACCCCCACAGCATGATGCTGCCACCACCATGCTTCACTGTTGGGACTGTATTGGACAGGTGCCTGGTTTTCTCCACACATACCGCTTAGAATTAAGGCCAAAAAGTTCTATCTTGGTCTCATCAGACCAGAGAATCTTATTTCTCACCATCTTGGAGTCCTTCAGGTGTTTTTTTAGCAAACTCCATGCGGGCTTTCATGTGTCTTGAACTGAGGAGAGGCTTCCGTCGGGCCACTCTGCCATAAAGCCCCGACTGGTGGAGGGCTGCAGTGATGGTTGACTTTCTACAACTTTCTCCCATCTCCCGACTGCATCTCTGGAGCTCAGCCACAGTGATCTTTGGGTTCTTCTTTACCTCTCTCACCAAGGCTCTTCTCCCCCGATAGCTCAGTTTGGCCGGACGGCCAGCTCTAGGAAGGGTTTGTGCTGCATCTGAATTAAAGGGTTAGTTCTACCAAAAATGAAAATTATGTCATAAATTCGCACCCTCATGTCGGTTGAAATCCGTAAGACCTTCGTTCATCTTCAGAACACAAATTAAAATATTTTTGATGAAATCTGAGAGCTTTCATAAGTCATGGTGAACGCGCATCGAAGACTGACACAGAAGAGAAGAAATATTGAATAAAGTCATTATTTTTGTTTTCTTTGCGCACAAAAAGTATTCTCGCTTCATTAATTTCGGTTGAATCACTGATGTCACATGGACTATTTTATCGATGTCCTTACAACCTTTCTGGGCCTTGAACATGTTAGTTCCGTTGCTGTCTACACTCTTAAAAATAAAGGTGCTTCACGATGCCATAGAAGAACCTATTTGTCTAAATGGTTCCATAAAGAACCTTTAACATCTGAAGAACCTTTCTGTTTAACAAAATGTTCTTTGTGGCGAAATAAGGTTCTTCATATTATAATTCAGAATTGACTGAATGGTTCTTTGTGGAACCAAAAATGGTTCTTCTATGGCATCGCTGTGAAGAACCTTTTAAGCACCTTTATTTTTAAGAGTGTATGCAGGGTCAGAAAGCTCTCGGATTTCATAAAAAATATCTTAATTTTTGTTCCAAAGATGAATGTAGGTCTTACGGCCGGGTTTGGAATGACATGAGGGTGAGTAATTAATGACAGAATTTTCATTTTTAGGTGAACTAACCCTTTAAACATTTTTGAATTCAGATTTATTTATTTTTTGCCAGGTCTCGTAAATCGGTCACTTGATTTTACAAGGAAGCGGTCTGTTATTTGATTGCTTGCATTGTCCAATAAAATGCTGATAATGCTACATGTAACAAGTGCCCTTCTTAAAAAACAAAAACAAAAAAACAATTGACAAGTCAGATTAAACCATTCAAATATGAGAAGTATGTCAAGAAGAAGAATACAATTTCACACACACACACACACACACACACACACACACACTTTAAAGGGTTAGTTCACCCAAAAATGAAAATTCTGTCATTAATTACTCACCTTTGTGTTGTTCGAAACCCGTAAGACCTTCGTTCATCTTCGGAACACAATTTAAGATATTTTTGATGAAATATGACGTCTCGAAAATGTGGAATAAAGTCGTTATTTTTGTTTTCTTTGCGCAAAAAAGTATTCTCGTAGCTTCGTAACTTTACAGTTGAACCACTGATGTCACACGGACTACTTTGTCGATCATCTTGG